ACGGAAGGATCCAGCAGCCTGTCGGCGCCCGCCGTTCTCGTGGTCGCCGTCGCCGTCGTCGTTGTGGTAGTCTCCGCCGTCGCCTGGGCCATGGCCAATTACATCCACGTCCCGCCCGGCTCCCCGGAGGTGCCCAAGCTCAACGTCACGGTCCAGGATCAGGAGGAGCAGCGCTGCCGGGAGGGGGCCCTGAGCCTCCTGCAGCACCTGCGGCCGCACTGGGACCCCCAGGAGGTGACCCTGCAGGTAACGCCCACACCTCAGCCCTAGGTCCCTCGCGGCCCTGGCGCAGCCCTGGGCTTCTCACCACAATGCCCTCTGTTCGCCGATGGCCGGAGGCACCCACGGCCGCCGCTCGTCCCTCAGTGCTTTGGGAAGTGACCGTGTGTATTTCCCTGCACATCGAGGAAGGTCACTCCCCCTTCCTTCACACTTGCTTATCGAGGTTGTCCGGAGGGCATGTTTTCTCTTTCTTGAAGAGGCTGTGTAAGTGACGCACCCATTCCACCCCGGGAAGATTCCCGTAGATAGTTTCCCCTCCTCCCACTCCCAGTCCATTCTACCTGCAAAATGTACCTTTCCGACACCCTTTGCACGGGGTCCTCGCCGATCGGCCCAAGCAGCCCTTTCTCCTTCCACAAAAAATGCAGTCATTAAGTCTCTCTGATCTTTTCCTTTCTTTCCCCTTCTCTGGCGGTTTACTTCCATTGATGCCTCATCCTGCGTTTTATCTTCCCAGATCCTTGGATGGGCGACCGTATTTGATTCCCAAGTAATGCCCATGGCCGTGTGTTGCTACGTTGAGTTCTTAAGTAGCACTACACAACGTTATTTTATTTGGATAAATATTTTTTAAAAAGTCGTATTAGTAAAATTATTATCTGATGTTAGAACGAGTGGCTTGTGAATACTCCCTTTCTTGCGCCACTGTATTCATAGACAAAAATTTGAGAGAAAAAGAATCTAGCAGTTCTCTAATAACTTGGAAGTTATTTCATATACATGACATTAATTTTGAATATTAATTTGGTTTTAGCGTCATTAATATATACTTTTAGGGGGGCCGGCAGATGGAGTGGTGGTTAAGGGCTCTGGACTCCCATATGGCTGATCATAGTTCGAGTCCCTGACTTGGCGGCTTGTCTTCTCACTTTTTCTCTCATACTCTGTCCCTCTCTGGTCAAATTTACAATAAGTAAATAAATAAACTTGAATAATTCTTTGGAAAAATAATATAGTTTTAGGGGCTATATGTGAAAACAGACCTCTTATCTTCTTTTCCATTGCAAACAAACGACAAAGTAGTTTTAAAAGCTGGGGTATTTGGGGTTTATTTTTAAATCTTAGCAATAATGTAAGAACATTCCTTTGAATTAGCCAAATCATTAGCTGCTTTTTTTTTTTTTTATAACTCATTTATTGATTTTGTTCCTAGCTAATTCTTTACTAAACTAGCCAGCCACCTAAGCAAAGATGAATAAAACATGAACGGTTCCTAGGGCCCATTACAGTACCTGACACTTGGGCTTTCATGAGTGTTAGTTTCAGTTCTTGTTGCCTAAAGAGTTTTGCGCATACTGAAAAGACCCATATGTTTGGGTAAAAATAAAGTTGTTAGACAAAACATTTCAAAAGTTTAAGGTGGTATTTGTTACCAAAGTATTAAGAAATAGGGAATCCTAAATGACTTTTGTATGTAATGAGAAAAAAGTTTACTTTTTTTAACTAAGGAAATGTGTCTTCTAAATTGAAATTCAGTACTTTATTATTTACCTTATTTGTAGTTTGTTATAGAAAATTCTAAAATTTTAAAAATGACTGGCTTGCAGTCATTTATAAGTTAAACAGATAATCTTAATTAAAAGCAGTGCTATTTCCTGGTAAACTGCTGGGAATAATTTTTTTCCTTTCCTACTGTTATTTTTTCAACAGTGCCTTCAAAGTGACGCTTTGAAGATTGGAATTTCCTTTAATGTATTTGTGGAATAATAATAATAGCTATGGTAGGGTATTATGGTGCCAAGTTGTCGAGTTAGCTGATCTGTGTGTGTGCACATGCATGTATGTATATATACTTATTTATTTAATTTTATTATTGTTATTTTAATTTCACCAGGGAGACAGAGAGAATGAGAGGGAAAGTGAGAAAGCAAGCCACCAGGTCTAGGAGTCAAAATGTGGTAGACTGGGACACTTAGAGTAATGGCTATGTCGCTGACCTCCCATGTAGTTGACTGCAGTTTGAGGCCCGGGCCCGGTGGCTTAAACTCACGCGCGGCGTGTGTGTGTGTGTGCCCAAGATCCCAAGAAGAGAATGGAGGAGAAAGGATTGCGGTGTGGCCATCCCCTCTGGGGGGTGATTTCTCGCTTTCTGTCTCTCTTTCTGGAGAGTGCACACGCCCTATAGCAAAAACCTCTCCAAAAAATAAATGTGGTAGGCCATGTGAGAGTCCAGCCCCTCAGCCAACACACCACCTGCTGATCACTGGGTATAGCTTTTTTTTTTTTTTTTGAGAGGTTTTTCACTATAGGGCGCATGTGCTCGCCAGACAGACAGAGAGAGAGACAGAGAGACAGAAAGCGAGAAATCACCCCCCAGAGGGGATGGCCACACCGCAATCCTTTCTCCTCCATTCTCCTCTCAGGATCTTGACGTGCCTGGCATGGGTTTTAAGCCACCGGGTCCAGGACGCGAACAACGGTTGACTATGTGGGAGTCCAGCGACATAGCCATTACGCTAACTGCTAGTTCCCACTGGGTATAGCTTTTTATCGGTCCCACTGGGTATAGCTTTTTATCGGTCCCCATATTAGGCAGGTACTATCTCTTTTTTTAGGTGAAACTTAGTGAAATAAAGCCAAGATATAGATTTTAAAAAGGACTTAATGTAGTAATGTCAAGTTGTTTTTTTCTTTTTTCTTTTTTTTATATATAAGGAGTTTTTTGCCTCAGAGCACATGCTCTCTTTGGAGAGAGAGACAGAAACAGTAAGAGGGAAATGATGCCGTTACCCCTTCTCCATTCTTCTCCTTCCAGGATCATAGGCACGCATGCACATGCACCAGGCATGATTTTGAAGCCACCAGGTCTGGGACTTGAACCGTGTTAAGAGTCCAGTGACATAACTGCTACGCCATCTGCTGGTCCCATGTCAGGCTGGTTTTGATTGTTGGAAATTTTTGAAACTGAATCTTGGCTTCTGTTTAGCAACTTTTAACTTTAAGATAGTTGGGCCTATAATCCAAAATTCTAATATAGGTTGAGTATTCCTTACCTGAAATGCTGGGGACCAGATTTGTTTGGAGTTTGGAATATTTGTATGTACATAATGAGACAGTTTGTGGATGAGTCAAAAGTCCAAACCTAAAATTTGTTTGTTATATACCACATATACATAGCCTAAAGGTAATTTTATGCAGTGTTTTGCCTATAACTGTCATCATTCATTGTAGATCAGGTGTGGAATTTCCCACTTGTGGCTTTATGTCAGCACTCAGTTTCAGATTTTGGAGCATTTCAGATTTGGGATTTCTGAATTAGAGATATTCAACTTGTATACTTTTAAGCGAAGTTAAGTACTACAGCTTATTTTGCCCTAAGAATGATTATTAGTTAGAAATAAGTCCCCTTGGGCTGGCAGGTGGTGTGGAGGTTAAAGATGCCAGATTCCCACATGGCCGACCACAGTTTGAGTCCTGGACCTGGCAGCTTACTCTCTTGCTTTCCTTTTCTCTCTCTTTTTGTCTCTGTCTTGTCAATTTGTCTCTGTGTGGTCAAATTAAAACAAACAAACAAACAAAAAAACCAAATGGAATTAAATAAATAAATAGTTCTTAAAAAAAAAAAAAAAAAAAAAAAAAGTCCCCTTCATGTACAAGCAAGCTTTGGTACAGAAGTGGGGATTTCTAAGCTGAACTGATGGTTATTCGCCTCTTAATAGATCTGACTCCTCACATTACAAGCTCTACTTTTATAATGCTTCAGGATTTTTAAAATAATTCTCAATGGAAATAACTTAGATTTTATTTCCTTGGAAGTATATAGATAAAAGCCATACTTCACATTTCAGAAACAGAGGTATTAAGTATATATGAGGTAGTCGATAGATTAAATGTAACTTTGTAATAGTCAGGCAGTAGTAATATAGCCTGTTTTCCTCACACATTTTTTTTCTAAAATTTTTATGTGCTTTAAATGTACTTTAGAAGCATACTGTAGTAATACTTAATCTTTTTTTAAAATTCTGAATGCATCACATTTAATAAGTTACTCTGTACACACACTTTTGTTACTGAAAAATAAAAATATAAAATTTCCTTTTATTGCAGTTCAAATTTTTGAGCAGGAAAATCTAATTCCCTGTCCTAATTTCTCTAGCCAATCTATCCAGTGTTTTCTTTATATTTCTTCCCTACATATTACTTTGCTTTAAATACTTGATGCTGGGTTTCATCTCAGGTTTAGGCTTCTAAAACACATGTATTTGAGAACTACTGGTGCTTCTTGGATCAAATCAGAAAGTCCAAACACAGTGCTGTATTTTGAACTCATTCAGCTACACTCAAATTACACATATTCCTTATAAATTACAAATATTCCTTATAAATTATAAATCATGATAGAGATACAGAATAAAAATATGTCCAAATTATTGGTATACAGGCCATTCTAGCAAAGAGTAGCTTGCTCAGTCAGCTGCATATAGTTACCAGTGAGAAAGAACAAGAATAAGGCTTATGACTAAATTGACTGTGTCATAATAGCTATATATTTGTTGTAATTTTCTTTTTCTGAAGAATTATTTATTTAATTTTATTTATTATTATTATTTAATTTGATCTGAGAGAGAGAGAGGCAAAAGTGAGGAAAGCAGCTGCCTGGTCCAGGACTCAAACCATGGTCAGCCATATGGGAATACAGCACCTTAACCACCATGGCACCTACTGTCCCCTTCATGTGATTTTCAAGCTCTCAGGTTTGGGACCAGTTGTGTGGGAATCCAGTGCTGTAACCACCACACGACCTACTGGTCCCCAGTAATACTTTTACCTGATGATTGCTCCTTTAAGTTGAACTATCCAGAACATGTTTGAAAATCCTAAAAGACTTTGCAAAAGACTTTGATACAATCAAAACAAGAGTGTGAGGCTGGCAGGTGGCATGGTGGTGAGGATGTTGGACTCCCACATTGCCGACTGTGGCCCCAGTTCCAGACCTGGTAGCTTGCTTTCTCACTTTCTTTCTC